TTGTTTACTATTTTTATTTTATTTATTTATTTCATAAACTATATTACAATTTTTATTAAAATATAACTATTATTAAATTTATTTATCGTTATTATATTTAAAAATTTATTATGATTTTTACAATTAATCTTCTAAAATTTTGGCACTCGATATCATGTTTCTTATATTTGTATTTTTTTTTTTTATATTACGCCATTATTAAGCGCATATGGTAATTATTTTCACGCTACGATGCTAGAAGAGACTTGTTTACATTTGATATCTTTCCCATATTTGTATAAACTGCAAACAAATGACTAACTTCTACAGAATTTCCTCCATTACCTCCCACAGAATAATGTTCGATCGTCGATGTGCCAGTCTTCTTTCAACTTACGTCTCTAAGAAAATAAAATTAAAAAAATAATAAACAAAATTTTCCGGCAATATATTCACAATTTTTTTAAATTACTTCTACACCAACATAAGTCATATTCAAATGGACATAAATGGGCACCACGAAGAGATTAAACAAGACAAATCACTGAAATATGAAAGGTTCTTTTCTTCTTCTTAAAGAAATTTTAACTGAATTACTACAGACAAACACGACAGATTCAAATTACAATTTTTTATTCAATCTACAACAATATAACATCAACAACAACATAGAGATATGTGGATCTTCTTCGTCATCTACTTACAACTGAAGTGGAAGGCCGAATGGATTTCCGAATTTCGGCTTTACTTGGAGGATTATATTTGGCAATTTCGGGTGCATGGAAAACTGGTGGTGAACCCGGTCCTATCCAGAGTCCACTGTCGTAATCGAATTTGCCAGTAGGCTGATTCGATTTAGAGGTAGATATCGCCCATAGTAAATTTTCGTAAGGAATTTTCCGATAAGAAGGAATCGGATTTTTTGTCTGAAAATTAAATTTTTAGAAAAATATATTTAAAAATTATATTTATTTTAAAATGCTTACATCTTCCAACGGTGATAATTTTTGAGTTCCTCTGTACTTTGTCATGATGGCTGTGAACGTTATGATAGCGATCAGCAGCACAATTGCTAAGACGATTCCTAATATAGTCGCTGTGTTATCGGGTGGTGCCACTAGAATATAAATAAAAAATTTATATGCATCGTATATGCTATTTTTTAATAAATAAATACAGTATAAATTAATAAATTTTTTACCTGGAGAGGGTGTAGTAATGGGATTTTGAGCCACTACAATTAATGTTTTTCCATCAAGATCTTTCAGTTTTAATTGATTACTATTAATTAATCTCTTTAAATCTTCGGATGCGGCTCGCAGAACTTCTTCGTCTACTGTGTAACCATTACCCTTACTTGGTACTAATTGAAAGCTTACTTCGATGCTCCCTTACATAGAAAAAGTTTCATGTTCTTATATTAATTTATTAACATTCGAATTAAGTGAATTAAACTTACCTTCCGAGAGGGTTAAATTTTGAATAGAGGTAGGAGGTAAGCGCATTATTTTAGAAAGTTGCGACTTAAATGATTTCTTTAATTCTTCTTCTCTGTTTCCTACGACTTCCTTAAAATCGGCATCAATTCTGAACCACATAGGAATCTCGACGTATGGCACAGAAGTAACGCTTGAAGTCTCCAATAAATATGGAGTGTTTGAAGTTCTAATTTCATCTTTCGAAGGAACAGTTAAACTATGTTTCCAGATTTTAAAAGTTGTTGTTTCTGTAGAAGGATTCTTCGGTAATTTACTCGTACTTGAAATGATGTTTTCTATTTTTCTCGTTGTTGTTTCCGTAGTAGATTGTTTTAACGATTCGGTTGTGTCGATTATTTTAGTTGCAATCGAGCGAATTGTAGTTTCCTTTGTGAATAAACTTGATATACTTTTAATCGTAAACGATTTTGTTGAAGGCGAATTGAAAGAAGCTTTCGTTGAAGTAAACAATTTAGTTATTAAAGTGGGTTTACTTAAAAATTGAGTTGTTTTATCCAGTTCTAAGGCATTAGTTTCGCGATACTCAGGAGTTATTTCAGATTTACTCTGTGTTGGAATTTCGTTATTATTTTCATCTTTTATATTTGCGGTAGAAGAGAGAATACTGGATACTCTAGAAATAAAATGAGTAGCATCCGTTTCAGAAGAAAGAGAATTAATTGTTTGGTATGGAGTAGTAGATTTAATAGTATTAGTTGTCTCATCAGTATGTGATACTTCGGAAGAAACAATGGAATCGGTAGGGGTTGTTTTTCTTATATCATTAACATCAGCAGGAGTTTCAGTAATTACCTCCGTAGAAATTGTGCTAATTATTTTAGAAGGAACACTGCTAATCATTTCAGAAGTTGTCTGATTGATGATAGAAGAAGTATCTGATGTACTAATTATCTCAGGTGATACTGTAGCAGCTGCTTTAGAAGTAGTTCTAAACATTGGAGTAGGAAGTGAATTAGTTTCTTTTGAAGTAGACTTTGTTCGATACCAATTAGGAGTGGTACTCATTATCTCGGCAGAAGTAGAAATAGCTTCGTTTGTAATATAAGGAAATGATGGTAATGTATTAGTTGATTCAGAAGTGATTGTACTCAATTTTTTAGGAGTAACAGCAGTCGTAGTTTTGATTATTTGGGGAATAGCTTCCGAAGAAACTGATCCTTTAAATGTTTCAGAAGAAAGCGTGCTAATTTTTTCAGAGGGAGTTATATTAATCATTTCAGAAGTGAAAGAATCGATTCTTTCCGTCGAAACAGATTCTGTTGTTTTTTCAGATATATCAGGGATAGCAGTCAGTGTTTCAAGAGAAATTGTTGAAGATGAAGGAATATTACTCCTTACAGATGAAAACGTATTAATTGTTTCAGAAGGAACTGTGCTAACTGTTTCAGTCGAAGCAGCCTTAGTAATTTTAGGAGTAACGGTAGTAGTACCAGTAAGCATAGCTCTAGTTATATAAAACGAAGGAAAAAAGATAATGGGAGTTGTATTATTTATCGATGCATCAGTCGGTATAGCAGTTTCTAACTGTGTAGTTTCAAACGTTGAAAGGCCTAGAGAATTCATCTTAGTTGAATCCGTATTCGTTGATTTTCTAGTAAAAGGTTTGTTTGTATAATTTATAACTGGAGTTTTTGTATCTACCGAATTTATTGGATAATTAGCTGAATGTTTTACGGTTTTAATATTCGGAGATACAGCTTTATCTTCATTAATCAAAGTTGAAAATTTAGCTGTAGATAGATCTGTTTTAGAAGTAGCTTCGGAAGAAGAATCTAATCGGAAATTATAACTTGTCGATAAATCTTCTTTTGATGTTAAAGTTTCTATAAAATTGCTCGTTGAATCATTTTGATAAAACTCAGAAAAGGTAGAATTTGTCGCAAGATTTGTAATTGTGGATGCCTTCAGAGTAGTCTTTCGAAATGGCATATTTGTCGATGCTACGAAGGGTTTTTCCGAAGCGTTTTCCGTGTTGTCTATAGGAACTGCTATTGTTTCCGTAGTAGTTTTTTCCGTCACTGTAAGAAAGTTTGGCTCATTACTTGTGGAAAAATATCTAGTATTATTTTCTGTCGTTAGCCACGAAACAATAGGATCGTAAGGAGTAGTAACTCTGTTAGAATTTAATTCTGATTTAACATCAAAAGATTCTGTGGAAGATATAGGTCTCGTCTCTGCAACATACGATGTAGTTTGCTCCAAATCCGTTGTATTTTTGTATAATTCAGTTGTTAATAATTCTGATTGCGTAAGTGAATCATAACTTTTACTTGTAGATGATTCAAAATTCATTACGATTGTTAAATTAGGCTCATTTTCTTGAATACTCGAAATAGTTTCTTCGTTAGTTGATAAAGAAGTACTTATAGGAGCTTCGCTTGTATCTAAATCCTCACTTGCATAAGATGTAAAAGTTTCTTCAGAAACTCCTATCGTAACTGAATCAGATGTAGAAAGAGAAGAAAATAAAGCTGATTGTGTTCCATCTAAATCAAAATTATCCTCATCATTTACAAGTGACGGAAAATCGCTTGATAAATCAGTAACGCTCACATGATCCGTATTGTAATGAGGAAATTCTGTAGTAAAAGTTATTTCATCAGAATAAACTGTAGAATTAATATTTGAATAAATTTGTGTTGTAGATTCAATAGATTCAGTTTCTCCAGTGAAATATTCTAAGTGATTAAAATCAGTTGAAGTATCATTATCTTCTTGTGCGTCAGAAACATTTGAGAAAAGTATATTTTCTATTGAATTTTCTATACTTTCAGTTGTCAATAATAATCCTGTTTGATTCTTCATGGTAACGAAAGAATCATTCGATTTAACAGTTGATAGATGTAACATATCTTCAGTAACATCATCAGATGTAAGTAACGTAGTCTCTGAAGCTACTGAATCCTGAAGAGATGTTGATGATTGAAGGTCGCCCATTGTTGTTGAATATTCTTCTTTCATAAAATTAAACTTTTCACCAGTAACAATAGACGTGGGTTTAGATACATCAGTAGAACTTAATTCCGGCGCCGTTTTCCTGTCGTATGAAGGGATAATTTCTTTATCATATACCCGTTTATCGTATATGCTAACCAGAGAATGTTCACTTGTAGAAAAATAACTTTTGGTATATTTAACCTCATCTGCAACATAAAATCTTTGCTCATAAATCATGCATAATAGTAATAATTAAATTGGATCGGAAGGCTTATCGGCCTTTTCTACACAGAACAATTTTTCATTTTATAAATTATGAATATAACAAGAAGAAAGAGATATCAAGGACATAGGAAAAAAAAACTAGTTTCGC